GGGGGGGGGGGATAAGTCTGTCTATGCATATACATGTGTAGTGTTGTTCTAATTGAGGTGAATGGAAAAGACTTACACACATGTGGTGTAGTTAAGTATTAGAGGTGAATGGAAGAGACCTACACACATGTGGTGTAGTTAAGATGTGATACACAGGTGTGGGGTAGTTAAGATGTGATACAAACATGTGGTGTAATTAAGATGTGATACACAGGTGTGGTGTAGTTAAGATGTGATACACAGGTGTGGGGTAGTTAAGATGTGATACAAACATGTGGTGTAATTAAGATGTGATACACAGGTGTGGTGTAGTTAAGATGTTATATACACATGTGTGGTGTAGTTAAGATGTGATACACACATGTGGTGTAGTTAAGATGTGATACAAACATGTGGTGTAGTTAAGATGTGATACACAGGTGTGGTGTAGTTAAGATGTGATACAAACATGTGGTGTAGTTAAGATGTGATACACACATGTGGTGTAGTTAAGATGTGATACAAACATGTGGTGTAGTTAAGATGTGATACACAGGTGTGGTGTAGTTAAGATGTGATACACAGGTGTAGTTAAGATGTGATACACACGTGTGGTGAATTTACGGAGGTGGACGACTCACAAGGAAGATTATAGAAATACAACACATACATCTGGTGTGGCTATGGGCGTGTGAGGCTCGATGTGGGTGTGGTGTTCTTATGGTTATGTAGTAGTCATATGAATGTTTAAATGGCACAGTAATGGAAGTGCAAGACTCCAACAGATGTGTAGTTTATGGAAGTGCAAGACTCCAACAGATGAGTAGTTTATTAAAGTGTGAGACTCCAACAGATGAGTAGTTTATGGAGGTGTAAGACTCCAACAGATGAGTAGTTTATGGAAGTGTGAGACTCCAACAGATGAGTAGTTTATGGAAGTGTGAGACTCCAACAGATGTGTAGTTTATAGAGGTGTGAGATTCCAACAGATGAGCAGTTTATGGAAGTGTGAGACTCCAATAGATGAGTAGTTTATGGAAATGTGAGACTCCAACAGATGTGTAGTTTATAGAGGTGTGAGACTCCAACAGATGAGCAGTTTATGGAGGTGTGAGACTCCAACAGATGAGTAGTTTTTAGAAGTGCGAGACTCCAACAGATGAGTAGTTTATGGAAGTGTGAGACTCCAACAGAGGAGTAGTTTATGGAAGTGTGAGACTCAAACAGAGGAGTAGTTTATGGAGGTGTGAGCCTCCCACAGAGGAGTAGTTTATGGAGGAGTGAGACTCCAACAGATGAGTAGTTTATGGAGGTGGGAGACTCCAACAGATGAGTAGTTTATGGAGGTGGGAGACTCCAACAGATGAGTAGTTTATGGAGGTGGGAGACTCCAACAGATGAGTAGTTTATGGAGGTGGGAGACTCCAACAGATGAGTAGTTTATGGAGGTGTAAGACTCCAACAGATGAGTAGTTTATGGAAGTGTGAGACTCCAACAGATGAGTAGTTTATGGAGGTGTGAGACTCCAACAGAGGAGTAGTTTATGGAGGTGTGAGCCTCCAACATATGAGTAGTTTATGGAGGTGTGAGACTCCAACAGATGAGTAGTTTATGGAGGTGTGAGACTCCAACAGATGAGTAGTTTATGGAGGTGTGAGCCTCCAACAGATGAGTAGTTTATGGAAGTGCGAGACTCAAATAGATGAGTAGTTTATGGAGGTGTGAGCCTCCAACAGAGGAGTAGTTTATGGAGGGGTGAGACTCAAATAGATGATAAGTTTATGGAGGTGTGAGACTCCAACATATGAGTAGTTTATGGAGGTGTGAGCCTCCAACAGATGAGTAGTTTATGGAGGTGTGAGACTCAAATAGATGATAAGTTTATGGAGGTGTGAGACTCCAACAGATGAGTAGTTTATGGAGGTGTGAGACTCCAACAGATGAGTAGTTTATGGAGGTGTGAGCCTCCAACAGATGAGTAGTTTATGGAGGTGTGAGACTCACGTTGATGTGATTGTGCGGAATCGTTCTTGTCCGGCTGTATCCCAGATCTGTAGTTTGACTTTCTCTCCATTTACATCGACAGTTCTAATCTTAAAGTCCACCCCTATAGTTGTTATATATGTACCTGGAATGACAAGAGGATAATATATTATATATAATCTATAATGATTCCATTCTACATGTATATTTCACTTAGTTAAGACACAAATGTTTGAAATATTACAAAACTAGAGGTGCAAACAAGACTTATTTGTTAATTAGTATGTATTCAGTCAGACGTCATGTGTTATTTTAGTGCCTCTTCTTTTGTTTTGTGCCCTTGTCGTAATTAACAAACTTATGACATTTTCCGAGTTTCACAATGTATCTTTGCGTTGAATGCTATTCAATATCTACCAGTTTGGAGATATGTAACATTGGTTAACAACCAAGGATGACAGGACAACAGCCAATGACTTATACCAGTACCTTTATTCGTTTATCTTTTGATTGTGATTGGTGAAACATGCTTACACTACACTTATGTTGAAATCTACCCATGACATTTTAAACATAATACATTTTGTACATGCACATGGCTATTTGATCATTATTTCCTAAGCAGGGGGGGCACGGCACCCATCAGGAACAGGGACACTTATAAGTTAGAAATAACATGTTTCAGCACTCTTTGGCCCATGCCATATTTTTGTTTGTGTGAATAAAATCTGTGTGAAATGATGCCATAATTTGCGTTGAAATGTTTGACAGACAATGCTGAGGATTCTTAATGAACATTTCAATTAACCTGTTAGGTAACTTCCCTATAGTTCACTCCCTCTTATCCAGTATCTGTATAATTATATTCAATCCTGATGTGCTATCAAATAATGAGCAACAAAAACTATTGCAAAACATCTAAGGAACTGAAGTGCTTTTACAGATGATGCATGCATGTACTTGATAATGACGAGAGGTACGAAGTGTGATTTCAAATCCGAGTTATCTCTCAAACAACTTCAATATATACACAAACACTGAATCCTTCTCATCTGAACCTATCGGGCTGTCATTACATTAATGTAAGTCTGATACCCAATCATTAGAATGTAGCAGCTAATTAGCCTACAAGTATATCAAATCAACCCTTGTTATAGCAGCTGAACTCATTCACCCCTGAAATTGTATAATGAGTTCAAATGTGTCTTCAGGGGTGAATGAGTGATACAATCAAATCAACACTTGTTATAATAGCTTATGCTTAACCTGCATATGTATACAACCCACATTCATATTGACCTCTATCTGTGACCTTGATCTTAACCTTAGAAGGAATGACCTTTATCTGATATGTGTATTTTGTAATACAAACCATACCTATAAATCCTCTTCATCTATATAGCTGGAACTTACATTATCTAAATAAAAATTTGACTGGCTACCAGCCCTTAAGTTCTTGTTAAGGATTTCCAAATTTCATTTTATTACTAACTTGTCTCCCTGTAGTTTGAAACTAAAGACATCCAAGTGATCAAAATCGTAAGAATTTAATTTTTCAATGAATAATTCAATATTCAAGAGAATACATCTCTACATGCATACAGCATACAACATTTTATCAGTGAAGTATATATACATACATACCATAGTTAGGAGGTGGAAGATATTTCATTTAACTTATATGACACGCTTTTTCTATCTAAACAGGGAATCAAAGGATTACCGTTAGGTACTCATAGCAAGTAAATAAACAGTGCTTAACATTAACTGATAAATTAGTGTTAACAACAGTCTGGTGTTGACCAGGACCAGAGAAGTGTAGGTGTTATCAGGACAATTAACTAAACACTAACAGATACATTAGTGTTAACAACAGTCTGGTGTTGACCAGGACCAGAGAAGTGTAGGTGTTATCAGGACAATTAACTAAACACTAACAGATACATTAGTGTTAACAACTGTCTGGTGTTGACCAGGACCAGAGAAGTGTAGGTGTTATCAGGACAATTAACTAAACACTAACAGATACATTAGTGTTAACAACAGTCTGGTGTTGACCAGGACCAGAGAAGTGTAGGTGTTATCAGGACAATTAACTAAACACTAACAGATACATTAGTGTTAACAACAGTCTGGTGTTGACCAGGACCAGAGAAGTGTAGGTGTTATCAGGACAATTAACTAAACACTAACAGATACATTAGTGTTAACAACAGTCTGGTGTTGACCAGGACCAGAGAAGTGTAGGTGTTATCAGGACAATTAACTAAACACTAACAGATACATTAGTGTTAACAACAGTCTGGTGTTGACCAGGACCAGAGAAGTGTAGGTGTTATCAGGACAATTAACTAAACACTAACAGATACATTAGTGTTAACAACAGTCTGGTGTTGACCAGGACCAGAGAAGTGTAGGTGTTATCAGGACAATTAACTAAACACTAACAGATACATTAGTGTTAACAACAGTCTGGTGTTGACCAGGACCAGAGAAGTGTAGGTGTTATCAGGACAATTAACTAAACACTAACAGATACATTAGTGTTAACAACTGTCTGGTGTTGACCAGGACCAGAGAAGTGTAGGTGTTATCAGGACAATTAACTAAACACTAACAGATACATTAGTGTTAACAACTGTCTGGTGTTGACCAGGACCAGAGAAGTGTAGGTGTTATCAGGACAATTAACTAAACACTAACAGATAAATTAGTGTTAACAACAGTCTGGTGTTGACCAGGACCAGGGAAGTGTAGGTGTTATCAGGACAATTACGTAACTAAACACTAACAGATAAATTAGTGTTAACAACTGTCTGGTGTTGACCAGGACCAGAGAAGTGTAGGTGTTATCAGGACAATTAACTAAACACTAACAGATACATTAGTGTTAACAACTGTCTGGTGTTGACCAGGACCAGAGAAGTGTAGGTGTTATCAGGACAATTAACTAAACACTAACAGATACATTAGTGTTAACAACTGTCTGGTGTTGACCAGGACCAGAGAAGTGTAGGTGTTATCAGGACAATTAACTAAACACTAACAGATACATTAGTGTTAACAACTGTCTGGTGTTGACCAGGACCAGAGAAGTGTAGGTGTTATCAGGACAATTAACTAAACACTAACAGATACATTAGTGTTAACAACTGTCTGGTGTTGACCAGGACCAGAGAAGTGTAGGTGTTATCAGGACAATTAACTAAACACTAACAGATACATTAGTGTTAACAACTGTCTGGTGTTGACCAGGACCAGAGAAGTGTAGGTGTTATCAGGACAATTAACTAAACACTAACAGATACATTAGTGTTAACAACTGTCTGGTGTTGACCAGGACCAGAGAAGTGTAGGTGTTATCAGGACAATTAACTAAACACTAACAGATACATTAGTGTTAACAACTGTCTGGTGTTGACCAGGACCAGAGAAGTGTAGGTGTTATCAGGACAATTAACTAAACACTAACAGATACATTAGTGTTAACAACTGTCTGGTGTTGACCAGGACCAGAGAAGTGTAGGTGTTATCAGGACAATTAACTAAACACTAACAGATACATTAGTGTTAACAACAGTCTGGTGTTGACCAGGACCAGAGAAGTGTAGGTGTTATCAGGACAATTAACTAAACACTAACAGATACATTAGTGTTAACAACTGTCTGGTGTTGACCAGGACCAGAGAAGTGTAGGTGTTATCAGGACAATTAACTAAACACTAACAGATACATTAGTGTTAACAACAGTCTGGTGTTGACCAGGACCAGAGAAGTGTAGGTGTTATCAGGACAATTAACTAAACACTAACAGATACATTAGTGTTAACAACAGTCTGGTGTTGACCAGGACCAGAGAAGTGTAGGTGTTATCAGGACAATAAACTAAACACTAACAGATACATTAGTGTTAACAACGGTCTGGTGTTGACCAGGACCAGAGAAGTGTAGGTGTTATCAGGATAATAAACTGATGATAACTGTATACCTGACCTCCCATCTGTAGCACACAGATCTCAAGGTGGGACATGACTATGTAAATTCTACATCAGGTTTGGTGAACTGTGATGATATCTCTACATGGTTGAGCTAGACAGAGATAACAGGGTTTGTCTCCACATAAAAGTGTGTAGCTACACTGTGAGTATAAAATTACAGGCCTGACCTGGGATGGGAGAAGTGTAGATGTTAAGAATTTAAGTGTCTTCTTACTATATAGTACCATTGATAACCGAGGTTATATCAACCTATCATGATTTTTTTAAACCCCCGGATTTTAAATATAAACCAAAGATGTATAGAAATGAAACATAACTTGTTTCTTTTATTTAAGAAATGGTTGCTGTATTTCTGTGTGCTATGGTGGAATATAGGTATAACGAGGGTGGTAAAATGTTGGACAAAAATAATTAATAAAGGCACAACTCAGGATTTGAAAATGTTGGAAAATAATCAACTCGGGTCGTAATATTTGCAGCCTTCATTAATTATTTTTCACCCTTGTTATATATTCCACCATAATACATGCACATACATTGATTATTACTTCAATAAAACATGGTTTTTAACCAATGAAAAATGTTGTTACATCAAAGCATTACCAGGCTCTAGCTCTAGAAAGTCACTCCAAAATTGCATATTGAGCTGGTCAATATGAAATGACCTAGCCAAGACCATCAGAAAATCTACCCTAATCCTAGATGTTTAGTGTACAGCATTTAATGTATGATAAACATAAGGCCAAAAAAACCCACTAGTCTGTTTAGGGTTGCATGGGCAAAAAATCAAGGGTAGGTAGGTCAATTTTTTTTTTAAAAAAATTGTATATTTTTGTGTACCGTGTGGTCATGTGAATATGACCCTAGCTACTATTGTATGAAAAACTTTTTTTTTTTCATCAAAATGTTTTGACCCAAAACATACATACAATATAGTAGCTAGGGTCGGTCGGGAACCCTAAACAGACATACATTTTTTTTGGCCTAACTATAACTGACATTTTACAAGTATGAAATCAGAAGTGCCTGCTTTTCTAAGGAAACCAACAGTTAGGGATAGGCCTAACTCTACTCTTACAATGTTTCTAGTACACACTTAGTATACATTGGACAAAGGTAGGGATATAATGCGGTTCTTATTGACAATAATACTAGCGGTACATAAAACTCTGTGATACACGTGATACAATGTGGATGAAGCATACTATGACCCTTATAGTACTTAAGCTTTCTAAGAATATCCATACAAAGTTTAAGTTTCGGTAGCCTGGAGGCCGATTTGGTTTCCAGGTTGGGCAAAGTTATTTGAAGTAAGGACTACTAGCTAGAGGCTAAAAGGATCATGTACACCATTCAGCGAGTTCCTCAGAAATAGAATTTACCATGTGGATATGCAAAATACAATGAAGTTTAGTTTTTTGTTTTTCTAATCCATCTCAAATTGTAGCATGTACATCTCAAGACAAAGGGGATCATGCATATCAAGTTTTACCTCGATGACAGACTGACTGACTGATGGACGGACAATGAACCATGGATAAAGGAGATGAAAAGTTATGTTATATGTACTGTATACAAAGGCTCCTGAAACACCTGTGGATTAAAAGCTACATTGACATTTTTGATTTAAAGTGATTGTGTAGGTGTCCATCTGAACAGATACATTGTTATACTACTCAAAGCGTGTTTTTTTATTTTTGTGTTAAGGTGAATCTAATAAATAAACATGACCGAGGACATTAATCTAGCCTCTGTATCATCAGTACTACATGTGCTTCAAACCCAATTATCCTGAAACCACTACAAAAATGATTGCTTTTGCAATAAATATTTCAATGATGAAATTATACATATGTATATGTTTGATGAGTGATCCTACAGAGACTTTTTCTCTGTTGTTCAGAGTTGTGTGTCCATCCATCCCAGTTAGAGATCCAGATATCTATATACATCTCTCCAGTGTTTACACGAGAAAGTTAATGGATATACATGATAAATCCTGAGAACACTTGTGTTTGATAAATAAGGGGAACATACATACATTTGTACATGACAACATGCATCAGGAATTAAGATTAATGAAACAAAAAATACACTCCAATATGAAAGAAAACTTTCCAGCTTTCCAAGAAGTCTGCATATAAATACAAGGCTACATAGCGATAAATAAATTTAAATGTCTATGTGACGGTAAAAATATAAATAAAACAAAACACGTAGACTAGTTTAATCGGCTAGCGCTTTCGCCTGAAGAGCCCCAAGATGGGCGAAAGCGCTAGCCAAGTCTACATATATATACAAGTCTTCAATAATTTAACGTCCTTTCTAGGCAATTACCCTGCTGAAATAGTTTTTGAGCTTTATTTGATGAAAATGCCTACATGTACGAGAGAACTTTCCGAGCCGTATCATTTCCTTGTTTTGATCACCGATCTAATGGAGAAACATCTGACATATTACTACATGTTATTGTTACTCTGCTAGCAACATCTTTTTTTGTACAAAGTCGGTCTCTCGTTCTTCATACAGGTGTAACAGTTAGCTTCCCTTTTACATAGCAACATCTCCTATCCTGGATGTAGATTTCCTTGTTATATTTATATGTAAAATTAACTTTCCATGGAATTCCATGGAAATCTGTGGAAATCCATGGAAATCTGTGGAAATCCATGAAATCAGTGGAAATCAATGGAATTCTGTGGATTTTAAATTTCCTCAGAAAAAAATTCTGTGCAATAAATTCCTTACTCAAAGAATTTTCCTACAGATTCGTCATAATATTATTAGTTCAATAGCTCAATCAATCGAAACATTTCTTCACATTAATGCAGTGTAAGAAAGTGGGATTCTATACAAGTTCTACTGGTTCTTCGTTGATTTAAACATGACCAAAATCACCTTGGTGAAGGTCACCTATCAAACAATGTTGATTTTCTGTGTCTTAAATTTTAATACTTGAGCATTGCACCACTGGTCCACTACACACACACTTCCTGTTCCAACCAATTAATGGCTTGTGGCTATCATGACTCATTCACTTTTAGGAGAATATAATAAGCACTTACCTGAAAAGGTATTATCTGAGAACCGTAGCAACAAACTGCTTTTTCCTACACCTACAAATAACAAAGTAAAGGTTAAACATCTACACCTACAAATAACAAAGTAAAGGTTAAACACCTACACCTACAAATAACAAAGTAAAGGTTAAACATCTACACCTACAAATAACAAAGTAAAGGTTAAACATCTACACCTACAAATAACAAAGTAAAGGTTAAACACCTACACCTACAAATAACAAAGTAAAGGCTAAACATCTACACCTACAAATAGCAAAGTAAAGGTTAAACATCTACACCTACAAATAACAAAGAAAAGGTTAAAACATCCTACACCTACAAATAACAAAGTAAAGGTTAAACATCTACACCTACAAATAACAAAGTAAAGGTTAAACATCTACACCTACAAATAACAAAGTAAAGGTTAAACATCTACACCTACAAATAACAAAGAAAAGGTTAAACATACAGTACTTCATCAGAATGTAATGCTACAGTGATATATCAGAAGTATTCATGATTTTCCCTTATTTACTCTATTTTCAGAGCAATGAATGATTCATTACATTTTCCTGAGACCAATAACAGCATCATTGAAACTAAAATTCCCCTACTGTAGAAAGCTACATAACATTTATCTCACGATCTAGTTTCACATTTTTGTCTAGTGGTATATGATGACTTATATACAATTTTACTACACCAATTTCTTGTTTGTCTTACCAAATAATGGCAGTCAAATTTTATTTCTGATAATAAACCGGTCATACATACGTATACCATGGTAAATATATTTCAAATCATTGCGCAGAGGAATCTCTTTCATGATTCTTGTATAATTTTGTTTCAATGGCACAATAATTTGCCCCAGGAAAAATCAATTCAAAATGGTAGAAATGTATCAAATCCAAAGGAAAGCAGGGCAAGGGCAAATCATGAACAATTTCATTATGGTACTTAACTCATTGACCCCTGAAGACACATTTGAACCCTTCCAATTCAAAGGTTGGAATTGTTCATTATGAAATTTCAGGGGTGAATGAGTTAAGATATGTTAAGGCCATAAAACATGTTTACAAAGGTACATATCAAACCAAACCTATTTAACCCTTTCACCACTGTAGACCATAATGGACTCATCCAGATCATTGCATGGTAGAGTCTACTTAAGTTACATAGGGGTGAAAGGGTTAAATATAGATGTGATAATATTAATCACACAAAACAAAACTTACCATTTTCATATCAATGGTGTAAGAGTTAAAGCTAAAAAGCACTATGTTTGTTATTGACAGTTGTCGGTAGTAAAAGGGGTTGTGCGATTATAGACATGTGTTTTTATAGTTACATTGCATATACTTATATTTACTGCCTGAGACTGCATAATAGAAAATCATAGCTGAGTGACTAAACAATAGAATTCAAAAGATTTTCTCCTACAGACATATATGTATACTGATCTTCAGGGGGTAACCTTTTACACACATTGATACACATTGTACTGTATATGATATTCATAAAAATATATGTGTATGTTGGATTGAGATTCTTGCTAGATCGGTAAAATATTTGGATACATACATTACAACAGAAACAAACATAATGACATTTAAGTCAGTGTTTCTGGCCAGAAATCAAATACTGAAACTTTTTGAAAAAAATAATCACAGTGTTTGGGGCCAGTGGTTCTGTGTGATTTGTTTTGAATCTTTTAGCACATCCTCCAGATGTGTGTTGATGGGCTGCAGTATCGACATATATTCAGTAATTGCATCTAAATACAACATCTTTATTTGCATGCAGGTTTCAGTTATACATAATATTCATAATTGCTTGAAATTTAAATATTAGACCAAATAATAAATATGTCTGTTTTTTAAGCATTACTCTTACCTGCTCTAAATCTTTACATATACTGACCCTATTGGCTATAGATTGTATGCACTTTTTTAAACAAAAAATGGCAAAGTATTAGTAAGGATATGTGTTCCTTAGACAAATTGCCTTGTTTACGGTTACAGATACATGCTCATAGTCTAACATACACAACATGTGAACCTCTTTTCTGAAGAGTTTCAAACTAAAGAAACCAGTAGCGTTTCTTTAATGTCTGGTAATTTGGACCTGCTCAATTTAGCGATAACATGTTAGAACCTCGGTAAACACTGCAATTTATGTAAAACCTTTTTCAAGGGAGACAACTCTAAACATATCCTGAAAATTGAAATATGAACATCTGCTGTATTTATTTCAAGTATCATTTATTACACCTAGGAATGTATTTCAGTATTTACCCCCCATGACAGTCTTCACTAAATAGTTGGTTGAGTTATACATATTCGCTTAGGTCTGAATCCTTTATTTATAAATCTGTAATGAAAATGTACACACAACTTCTGAATACATCCAAATGGTCAGAGAAATGTGTCTGGTCTAGATTTTCACTGTATAGCCTGCAGGACTTAGGTTTTTCCAGGGTCTCTATAGAATCTGGTGGCACCCTCAGCTGTTCCTCTGGTTGGTAACTAGGTTACATCTCTTACTAGTCTCCTCCATACGCTACAACCCTAATGGAAAACCGTCCTACTTACCAAATGTAAGATATCTAAATGTAGATGTTTAGCTAATCATTATGAGAACATAGAGATAGGAGTGAAAACAGACAGAGGGCAGGCAGTGATTTATTTCTGATACAGAGAATGTACAGATATAATTAATTGTAGGGTAGATCTTTATAGTGGCTGGTAGTCTGTACACTGTTATAGTGTGGGGCTATCAATTTGACATCAAATATATACAGTGTGTATAGAATGTAGCTACTGTGAATTAGCTTCTGTTAGAATTTGCCCCACATAAATGAAACAAGGATAACTTTAGATTAACTGTACTCTCACTCTGAAGATCTGAATGAAAGATTTATAAATTCTATGAAAAATTTGTTTTGAAATTTTCATTTTTTTGTAAATTATCCAGAAAACTCCACCATATACATTCTACAAAGAAAATATATGTATTCATTTCAGTGCACCAAACTGATCCTATTATAACCTTATACTATACACTCAAAGTAGGTATGTTAGACAAAGATAAGTCTATAAATCAGCATACAGTACTGATTAGTGCTTGAAGTCTTAAATTCACTGGGTCAAACCTTTACAATGTTGCACCAGACTTTGCTGTTTTTATTTTGTGCTGTATTCATATATCACTTACTACTATAAACATGCATTGTTATGGTTTTCACATTGGCAAACAGTTTATAGGCATTTAGCATTTATACATTCTGTTCTGTGTGTGACTACACCAAAGAAATGAAATAATCCTGAAATAAACTAGCTGCTGTTTATAGAGTAGACATGATTTTGTAACAGGCACAGTAATTGATAGACAATTAGTATAAAACTGATAAACTGGGTAAATTTTACAATAGAATGTATCATAAATTTCAGAATATTCAAGGGCTATTATACAACCATTTCCATTATCTAATGCCTTCAAGGTAAAGATAAGGTTGTTCCTATATGCTGTAGCTAATATCTTCAACACTAGATCAATGATGTATTGCACTTTTCTGGGGTTTCCATGGTAACAGTATAAATGTTTAAAAATTGATTATCTATATAAACCAGAATTATAATGTTTGAATTCCTAATTTGGTATGTCTAACTGATTTTTTTGCTTAAAATCAGTTTAAGGACTTTTCACCCTTCGTAATATACATGTTTTTCTTGTCGTATTTTCGTGTCGTCATTTTCGTATTGCGTATCGGGCATTCCAATATCGTTATGTAAATTAAAGTAACACTGGGTAAACATTAGTACACGATGATATGTCAACACCCGATATCGATATTTTGTTGGGAAATGTACGTAATCACACGTACTTCTGGAATAAAGGCTATGATACAAAGACATGAATTAACACACAGGAAGACATAAGATCAAATGACTTCAAGAAGGTAGTATATGAGGCGCATGGAATGCAGACTGATGTGTTTTGTTGACCGACCTCACCTGTACATAGCACGTGCTAACACTAGTTCACAAGCTCGGGTCGCTACAATTTTTGTTGTCGAGCGAGTTACGCTCTGTCAGGTTAATCTTTTCACAAATGCAGTTTTGTAAAATGTCAAGATCTCTATAAAATGCAAGTGCATATGCGTGCAAGTGATAACGGCATATTATTTGATAGTCCATGGTAACATATGTACCTAACATGTAAATATATCATGCGTAAGCGGGCTATGGAATGATGTCCAAAGTGTTTATGATTGAGAGTATAATTTTGTTCCATAAATTAAAGAACAGTAAATTGACAATTTTAATATCATAATTTAATTTATTTCCGTCGTTTTTGGTATAGTAAAGAAAACAACTGTCATCTGCAAAAAGTTCCGGTTTTTTTCAAGGTAGACAACTCTCATCAAGATCAAAATGATTGTAAAATGTAAAATTAATGAACTATAAAGACTTTGTGTATATTTGTTTCAATTGTTCACTCTTTTTGTATGAAACTTTGTGTCCTGTTTGCTTTTAGCAAAAACTTATATCCATACAATATCAATAAAAATCATTTTGTGTAACGTGTTTCAGATATTCTATGATGAATAAAATATTTGAAGGGTTGATTAGCAATGCTTCTTTTCATTACTTTATTGTTGTAATAGTTTTGAACAATGCCATGCACTCAAAAAATGTGAAAGTGTTAAATTTGACAACAAATCAATTTTTCTGCATTTTTTACCAAAAAATCCAAATGTTATTGGATTGCTTAGATTTTCATAAAATCATCCCTACATAATGACACTACCATTGTGTAAAACTTTCATTGAATTCTGCGGGCTAATTGCGAAAGTGTGGAGACTCCTTATAAGTCCATGAAACTCTCTATTATGGCAATACTTACACTGGTTTCTATAGCAACAGAATTGATAAACTATAGCTTATCGAATAAAAAAATCTGTCTGGTCTGCAGTGGTTATCTCATACATTCGGTTACTTTCTCTTTCAGCTAGACTCAAGATTCTGGCTTCTTTTGTCAATCCTGCTCAGAGACTAAAATCAAACTAGAGCATGAAAACGGCTTACCTGTCCAAGGCTGATCAAAACATGTCTCCTAGTTATAATGAGACTTCAGTGTTCTTGTAGCGAAAATGACCAGTCTATCGACTCCTGGTGAAAACTTGAGAATTTGTTTTTTTTGTGTGCATTAACCAAAAGGGACTAATGAAAATTGTTGTTGAAACTTTCACCAGTAGTTTTGCAAGTCATTTGAACAGTTGTATATCAAAAACTGTGTCATTATCCAAGATTTAATCCAAGCTGCAAAAATCTTGTTCTCCCCATGAGCCTTTCAGATATATATATATGTTATAAATGTTGTATGACTAATACAAAAGGTGCAAGCAATGATGATTGATAATAATGTTTCTGATTCTCATTTGTTAGCAAAGTTTATTCTTTCTTTCAACAATTGGAAAATCATCAACAATTTGTTGAACATTAAGATCTATCCAGCATATAAAATTTTATCAGATTCTACCAGGTGCCTCGGTAGCTGTGATCGCTAACGCACAGTCATTGTACTACTGTGTGCTATCAAGCGTGAGCTTCAGACCACTCGCTCTCCAAAGAATTTCGGTTCGATCCCCAGCGGTGGTGGAAAAAAGAGAGTGATGTCTGATAGGGTTAGTTGTTATCCCTCCGATGGCACGGTGGTTTTCCCCCCGTGGGTTTTATCCACCACGAAAACACCATTTGTTCCCTTAGCAGCATCGCTTTTACAATCTACAGAGCTTATGTTTGTTGTTGACAATAGTACACGACATTAAATAAAGATTATTATCATTATTATAATGTGCAGTCACCACATTCTAGTCATAAATACGGTCATTGACACGATTTTATGACTTGACATATCCCCAAATGAACCTGCACATAGATGTGAACCATTTACTTTTCTTTCAAAGTAGAGTTATAACAATACCAGGCCATTGATACACCTGATATTGACATCCATTTATAATTACCTGGGAGATCTAACACCTATCTATTAGCCTAGAGATAGGGATTGTCCTGTAAGTTAAACCAATAACTCAGGTTTGCATCCTAACTGTGAACAAAGACAGCTAATGGAAGTGTTGTATAACAACATTCTCATTGATTTTATATAGGTGATGGCCAAACACAGCATTTAACTTGTCCTAATTTAATGCTTGATCTGCAGTCCTTGTGTTGATAGCAGGGTTCCTTGGCGATAGACGGTACAATCAAAATAATCTACACCAATTAGAATAAATTAAGTGTAAATTATTACAATAATTCTGGTGGAAACCAGGGTTCCATGAATTTATTGAATAAAACATAAATGCCTAATATTTATTGATTGTGTCGGGAGTAGAAATGTTCTCCCACTGACTCGAGGATCATTGTCCTAGTGCAGACAAACCACTATAGAATCCAACTGTAGTTTTTCTGATCTTGACTGATCTCTTCTTCAGTGTTCTCACCGCATGTTAGATTTGGGGGTATATCCCTAGGTACTTAGTTACATAGGGTAATTGTTGAAAACTGGGGGTCCAACAACCAACTGTTTCGGGGATGACAAACCTTCATTTGGGGGCTTCTGGGAACACTGCTTCTTGATTTTGTTTTTGATATGTACCTGACTTGTTATGTATATAATTACTAGCAGTGACCAGGTAGTAAAGTTGGTTAGAGCGATGGTCTGTTATTATTTTATCATGGCGATCCAGAGAGCACTTCTTGCATCTACTAGCTGGTGAAACGTCTACGATAAGTCATACATGATGATGATGATGATGATGATGATGATGATGATGATGATCTAATACTTAAGCATGTTCTATCCTCTTTGTTGTTATTTGGTCACTAAATCGTTATAACAACACAACAAGGGTCAAGTAATATGAAGTGGAAATAAATAGTTTGGGTAAATACAGTGACCTGTCTACTTGACGAAGATCAATTATTTTAATTCCTGTTTAGGTTGAACTCTGTATAAATGTCGAAAGAACAATTACTATGAAGCTTAGGCATGCCATTTGATGTATGTTCTAAACAAAAACTGCTTTTATTTTTGGTTTCAAAATTACTGAAGCAATCAACATCTTTGTTTCATTGGTGTTATAAGCATTGTGCACAGCATTACACATACAAATATGTCTAATTCATATGCACGGTCAGGTGAGCCAGACTTCACTTTAATCATAAGCTATAAGCATAACTGTTCTGTGTCAATCACTGAAGTAACTTTTCTCCATACACAAGACACATTGCATGCACATGTACATTATTTGTTGGCAAATCAGAGAAGCAATATTCCCCAACACAGGACAGGAATATCGAGTCAGGGCTAAACCAATCACTGCTGACTGAAGCACTGGTACAGCATAACTATACAAACCATAGCACTGGGGGTCAATTACTGAGTAATGTGTCGATCAAACAGCCTGAAAACATGAAGCTTCCTGTAACTTGTGATATTCTCCTCAGCCAGAGATCAATACTGTATCAAACCGGCACCATGACATGCTTGTTGTCAAGATACATGTATCTATATGTGACAGATGGTGCAAGGTTCAAACAATTTCCTAATCTGGGGATCAATCTGTGTTTTAGGCAAATTTTCAGTATTTCTTGTTTATTTACGAAAAAAGTCAGCAGGCTGACAAATGAATTTTAAAAACTGTTAAACAATTTTTGTCTTTTTTTTATCAGCTCTGTAATAGATCAGTGAAATATAAAGTAATAAAACACCAAATTTAAAGCTGTTTATTATACTTGTAAGAGGTCTAAATCAAAACCTTTTACAACGTTCAGAGACAAAAGTAGCACAATAATCACATAAATATGATGGGAGACCAGAACCTTTATGCTAAGCTGATACTATATGTATTGGTAAAACAACAAACCTCTGATAATGTCTAATTATTACCGAAGCAATGCCTTATATTATGAAAAACGAGAAATATTATCTGAAAAATGCTACTTCAAGCTATGGCTATTTGTACCTTTATAATTGTAGTATATTACATGTAAATGGATGTATTCTACATATTTTTTATTGATAAAATATTCATAAATAATATTGCAACAGCTGTCATGATACATGCACTATACATGTATCTACTCCTTCAGACACTGTACAGTACGCTAATACTGAATTCCACTCAATTGACTAATCACTTTAATAACATTTTCAGCTGTAATAAAACATGAATTTAATTAATTAATGTTATAAGGGATTAAGTAATTAATACTATTAAATAGTAATATTAGAGTATGATATTAGAAAGAGAAAAAAATCATCTAGCAAACTTTTACTTTATGGACATTGATGTACAACTTACGAACAATATGACACATGTGTAGTTACTATTTCATAACAACATTTGATACATCACCCTGCAATGTACATTTACATACAATTCATACAAACAATACAATTTAAAAATGTTAGGCTATTAGCAATTTATTTAAGGGTGTATTTAAGTATGCCAACACCATACCAATAATAAAACTGAAATAAGAAATATCAACAGATTAATGGGCAGATGCATATGGACAAGACAATATCTTAATACATCCTGTGAAAACAGGTGAATAACTCCAAAACTGTCAAATTATAATACATCATCAGCTGGATGATAGTGTTAATTTTTTCATAGAAAATCTCATGAGGGTTTGTATCTTTATGTATAGTATGTCAAGTGATGAGACAGTCAATCCCTTGATTTATAGCGAGGGCAGCACATGTTTACATTGGCTTCATTAATTCACAGCCAAAATACTCAAATAACGTTTTCAAAATCACAGCAATAATAAGTTATATAAAGTAACTTTCATATGAAGTCGTATTGATTACATGTGTAATTTTGATTGTGAAAGTGAGCTCACTTTTCACTGGTCAGTGGAATGACAGTAGGGAGGCAAAATGATACTATAGCACTGAGGCAACTGAATGAGGTATACATATAGATATCAGAACATTAAGCTGTCTGGAGGAGGGGAACCTTGATGACTTAAAACATTTTCAGAAAACAAAACTTGTATGACTTATAACACTTTTTAAATTCAGAAAACAAAGTTTTATTATTTTACCAATGTTATAATCAGTTATTTAGTCATCTCTACATAATCGATTGTTGTTGACAATTTTAATTGTGCAGTATCATGGACTGAAGGTCGGGGGATGTAATATAATCAGATAATGGTCCATCACTTTATACACAAAAGGTCTCTCCTCAGTAACAAAGATATAATGAAGTAAATCCTTTTTTTCGGGATTTATGCATGGTCATTCTATCAATCAACTTTATCGGTCACCATTACAGTACGATGTATGGTATGGTATTGTTAGCTTACCTAATTTATTTATGCTTCTATAGTATTTCTTTATCGTCAAACATGGGAGACATTAGTCGATTTCCTCAATGAAAATAACTTTGTCGATTTGAAGGTACGTTATCAAAGGTTGACAAAAGTATCCAGTTTTAAAAAACGTCACAACGTTTTTATTTACTACTACCGTTATATTACTCAAAACTGAGAACCTAAACCGTGAAGGGAGCAGTGTACTTAGGAACATTCCTGTCATAACGATAACGAGTTATAGTCCATCACCAATATTACAACAAAAACATTCACATGTGACTTACCACTGTCTCCTATGATTAAGAGCTTGAACAGGTGGTCATACTCGCGAGCCATGTTTCCATACAGAAGGGCGAACCAACACAGTTTTATTCTCGAACTCGGATTTCGATGAGTTATACCAGGAAATGAGGCGTAGGCGAGTGCGCGAGTGCGATCCCTTAATCTTTGTCATCAAAATGTTTTAATCCAGCATGAAACTTTCGAAGTCTCTCCCAAACACGGATTTGCGTATATTTACTACTTCCGGTAAAAGAAGTTGTCTGCTAATGTGCAAACTAGGCGTCTGCAGCAAAATGAGCAGAAATCTCCTGTCGAGGACGCTTAGATTAAGTTGTATACAGAGACCATTAAGAACGAACAGTACAAGTACATCTAGGTGATAAGTGTGTTGAATGCATATATAAAGTTGTGATGTAAAATCATCGAGTGGAAATGGATTTACTATCGTTGCATCAGATTAGTTTTATGTCAGAGAAAGGACAAACTAACGTTAGCCATTTGGGCAAAAACATGGTTAACGGCTTTCCACCCTGATAAGTGTTATGCTCTCACAATTTCTAAGAAAAAAATCCCCTGTCATTTTTAATTATTCTCTTCATGGCCAAATATTAAAACATGTTGATTCTATGAAATAACTAGGTGTAACCCTCAGATCAGATTTGAAATGGGTCTCTGATGTAGATCAGATTTACAACAAGGCAAATTCTACGGTAGGATTTCTCAGAAAAAAACCTAAAAATTAGCTCAAAACCATTTAAAGAACAGGCTTACACATCTTTGGTTAGACCCTCTTTAGAATATGCTTGCTCTGTTTGGGATCCGTACACAGAAAATAACATCAACAAAGTAGAAATGGTCCAGAGGAGAAGAGCCTGATATGTGTCAAATCGCTTTCTAGTGTAACAGATATGATTGGTACTCTTGGCTGGATGCACACCTAAAGCCTTTACCCATTACAACATGGTTTTCGGAAGGGCCGGATTATCATGCGACACTTAATTACTGAAATTCATAGACGACATCACCAAAAACATAGATGCAGGACTTTCAGTAAAGCATTTGACAAAGTGAGTCACAGCCTACTTGTTCATAAGCTTGAGCACTATGACATCAGAGGGAAAACCAACACCTGGATAAAGAACTTCCTCATAGATTGTAAGCAGACCGTAGTCGTAGAAGGGGAAGCAGGAGATTACATCAGTGTGGAGTCTGGAGTCCCTCAGGGGTCGGTGCTCGGGTCGAGTCTATTTTTATATTGCATTAACAACATGCTGGATAACATCAGATCAACGGTAAGGCTATTTGCAGACGACACCATAGTCTATTTAACGATATCATCGGATGCTGACAAGGACCATCTACAAGAAGACCTAAACGGACTATCAGACTGGGAAGAGAAATGGATGATGAAGTTCCAACGTGATAAATGTAATGTCCTTTCAATTACAAAGAAGAAGACCCGTACCATGTATGACTACATTATTCATGGTCATACACTAGAGCATGTAACATCTGCTAACTATCTTGGAGTCACCATATCTTCAGATTTAAAGTGGAATACACACATCTCAAATATATGTCAGCGAGCAAATAACACCATAGGATTCCTGAAAAGAAATCTCAACATCAGCAACAGTAATTTAAAGGAGAAAGCCTATAAGAGCCTTATAGGTTCGGATACTCCCATGCTAAGCATTCACCCAGTGCTTGTAACAAGGGTTGGCAAGCTTGCCAAATTTGTAACGGGAGACTGAAAAATGTCGACTAGACCAAGGTTCGAACCTGGGACCCTCCAAACTGTAGATGGACGCTCTACTAACAGAGCTTCCTGGTCGCCGACGATCAACCCAGTCCAGTCTGTAGCAATCTCTTATCAAGATTCAAGTATGCATCACCTTGCAAGCACAGTGTTTGAAAACGGGTTGACAAGCTCGGCAATTTTGTAACAGGAATAAGAGAAATGCAATGGTCATACCGGAATTTGATCTACCCAGTCCGGTTCAGCTACAAGATTAACGGAGATATTTTTGACACATATCAAATTACCACATGTAGCTGATTTGCCTATTCCTTCATATCAAAATATATGTATAGTGAGGGCCTTGAACATATACTGCAACTTCACTTTCTGGAGAAAGTTCTGCAAGTATGGTCACTGATGATCGATCTGTTCTGATGATTCTTTCCTGTTTCTTATTGTCTTTGGCACCTGAAGAAAACTCCTTTTAATTTATAGCCAAGATTATATGATGTAAACTTTATTTGTTTTATAACAATCATGAAACAAGTAAATGTTACATATTATAATAATCACTCTTGTTGGCCGGGATGTTAGCGTGCAGGGTCTTAATGTGGGAGGAAACTGAAGTACCTGGAGGAAACCCACATGGTCAGTCTGGTAACACCTTTTCATGTCTGATCGGGGGAATCGAACCCTGGCCGCTTTGGTGAAAGACAGTTACACTATCCACTGTGCCACCTGCCCACCCCTATAAACAAAAGTTTGATCACGTTTCAAACTCGCAACTTGCAAAATATGGACAAAAGATGTACTAAACAAGCTGTGTTATCAAGATCTCTGATAACGGCAATTGACACAATCCAGATCAGCCACATTCATGTATATACAGTACATGTAACCAGTGTAAAAGATGAATTATATAAACTAGGGAAAAAAAATTCTCGTCCAGCATAAATGTAAAATTTATTTTGTCTACTGCATATGGTGAGCTCTAAATATCTTGAATATCTAGCATACTTGTACAACGTGCCTGTATCTCTGGTGCACCTCCTACTTAGTCACATGCTACACTTTCTGTCCCACACAAATGCAAGCATGCCATAGTGACCATCACTTCAACAGAGTGATCACCATTGATAAATACAATGTACAAATATATATTCAATGAAAAGGTACAGTTTGTTGTTAAGACACATGAACAAAATGATCATTATTATTTATACTCTGCTAATAGTTTTTACATTTCCAATAAATTCTGAAACCAATTCTTTAAACAAATTTAAAGGATGTTGAATGTAACTTCAATCCAGAAAATAGCTTGGTTTTTAATTCACACAGGGACAGGTCACATCAGACAATGGGCTTCTTTTCATTACAGAAACCAAAGTTAACGCCAACGTGATACTGTCAATAGTTTGTTTTCAATGATATTGGACTTGTTGGAATGCTGGTTATTTGGCTGTGAGCAAGACAATATTTTGTGCATCAGAGAGCTATGTATACCTGTATATGATTTTACAACAGAAACTGAAACGTTTTTTTGTAGTGAGTTCAGACAATATAAAAATGTTTATGTATCTATTTTCAGTCATATCAATTCAGCTGTGAAGTTGAATCATCATATCTACAAAAATGTTGAGAAAGGAACGAATCAAACAAGTGTGATGGTGATGCATGGTCTGATGGGCTCCAGTAACAACTGGAGGAGCTTATCCAAGGCATTGTGTAAAACAGGACGAAAGGTAATGAACTACTCTCAAAACTTTATTGCTTAGACTAGATTTACAGAATAAAAATTAGAAAACAACTTCATCTATAAATTGTCTATAAATTGGGTGTGAAATCAACAAGTGTAGCCAGGACTGTGAAGCAAGCATTGATTTTGAATACTGCTGTTCTTAAACTGTAACTTTAGACCATCTCCAAAATCCTCAAATAAACCCATTCTTACCTCTATAAGCTCTCCTTCTAACTAGCCCCAACTAATCGGTCTTTCCTCTCTGGGCTGTCTTTCCAAACTAACTTGCAAGACTTCTAGCCATTCTTTCCTCTCTGAGATTTCTTCCTCCTTACTTTCTATCTAAGTTGCTCTGCTCCTGACTCAAGACAAGCAGTCAAGCACTCTTGTCATCCTCCTTTACTAATGGTCTGAGCCCTAGATGCTCAAAGGTCACTAAACATCAGCCAGTGGGTCAGTTGCTCTACCTAGTGTGGTATTATCTCATGCTAGCTTTGGCTGGTATCACTGTACAGAATCTATGATGGTAGACATCAGTTTGGATCAATCCAAAATGTCAACACACAGGCAAGTATTTTATGTGTTTTTCCTGTAAATATATATTTAAGTGGCAGTGAAACAAAGCAGACCAGAGTTGAAAAACAATAACTTAACAAACAATATGCAAGTTTAAGAAATAGAATTTTCAAATCACTGGTTTAGATTTTGTAGATATTATGATTTCAAAATCCTTACCATTCGGTGTATTAAAAGTGCAGGCCAAACTATATGATTTTGCTAAAATATCCATATTAAAGTGAAATTTATATACTTGATGCCTTAACAGATGAATTTGGTTAACTTGTCAATGTGTATATCATGACTAGATTGTGTAACAGACCTCTAGATCATCACAAGGTCAAGGTCACAGCAAGGGGTCAAATATAAAGGGATTGTTAGGAGCATTACTTCTGAAGCAGTAAACATTATTTAATGAGACGTGGCATAGATATGCATATCATGAAAAGATTGCATGCCCCATACTGCACATTTCTGTACCTCAAGGACAAAGTCACATGACCATGGTCAAAAGTCATTGCGATAATTGTCCCGACCATAACTTTTGGTTTTAGTGGTCAATGAAATTAAATGCTGACATATATATAAGCCCTGTTTAATTATTGATCTTACATTCTTTTCAAGCAGATACAGCCTTATCACAGGTTTGGATCTGTTCAAAACTATAAAAGATCACATATAAATGGACAGAGTTTGATTACTCAGGATATGTTAGAATGATGTTGTTAACAAGATGGCAGTTCATATTGTTTGAACAGATTTTGAAGTCAACATATTTAGATAATATGAAATTGAAAATAATAATCACAATTATTAAGATGTGAAGAGGTACTGAACTTGTTATTCATCTTGAAATCGGCTCAGCAGAAATGGTTGTGATTTTAATTTATACAGGTGATAGCAGTCGATGCCAGAAATCATGGAGCAAGTCCTCACAATGAACACATGAGCTATTTCCTCATGTCAGACGATGTCCTTCGATTAATGGATGAACTTGGCGAAGAACGAGTGACCTTGATGGGACACAGTATGGGAGGCAAAGTCTTAATGACCCTGGCACTTACACATGTAAGATACCTACTTCAATCTGTTGATTTATCATTAAATAATCTATGTGTGTGATGTATTAAATTGTGCATATTTGAGTGAGCAATGTACACCTGTTGACCAAGTGTTGTGGACTGGTAAGTACACACTTTACCTAGAAACTTCCGCCTTTTTAACCATCCGTAGAGAGGGAAAATTTATCATAACAGCGACTATAAATGTTGGGTTTACAGCGTATTATGCAGTCATTGCAAGTGAAGGGTAAAATAAGACGGAGGGTATTTAAATTTACCAGGTTAGGGGAGCAAGTTGGACTGGGTGAAAGTTTCCCAGTGTACTGTTGTAACAGGAAAGAGAACACTGTAGAATCATTTATTTTCGTGGTTTTAATATACTAGCCTGTTTCAAGGACATTATATTTCGCTGATTTCTGATTTTCCCCTATCTATATCATACCAAGTTTATGTTTCGTGGGGATTAAGTTTCATGGATTTTTGTTATCCACGAAATAAAAGAAATTTAATGCCCCACGAAAATTTATGATTTTACAGTAGTGTGCTTCTACCAGGGATGGAACCCTCAATCTCCAGGTTCCTAGTCGGACGCTCCACCACTGAGCTGAAGGGAAATTCCCTCTAGCTCAAAGCTAGCTCAAAGCTAGAAGCTGACCTTAATCCTATGTACAATTAAAACCTGCCACACTACTCCCCCCTTTTTAAATGGGTTCACCCTCGAACACCACAACCCAGGTTTTAACTCCCTGTCACTACAGGGAGGGCCACGGGCACTATTTGTAACAGGAAAGAGAATAGTGTGCTTCCACCAGGGATCGAACCCTCGATCTCCAGGTTCCTAGTTGGACGCTCTACCACTGAGCTAAAGGGAAATTCCCTCTAGCTCAAAGCTAGAAGCCGACCTTAATCCTTATGTACAATTAAAACCTACCACACTGTATTCAGCTTCTTTTAATTGTCAATGAAGCTCAACATCCGACAGCTTTGGAATCTTAGTATATAATGCACCTTGGGAAACCTATATAATAAAATATTTTTTATTCTAGGGCAACTTTTCCAGATCAGATTGTTACATTGATTGTTATATTGATATATACATATATATATATATATGTATGCAAACCAGAATAAGACCAGGCAAAGTGTTGCGAGCTATTGAAAGTGTCCTACTTCCAAATAAACTTCAATAGGTTATGCCCTACCATCCTAAGAGACTCTCGCATACAAAATCTGGCAATTGTAGGTGACAGAATATACAAGTACTCTATGCCCCAAACAATGATAAACACTGAACAAAGGCCATTGCTCTGTAGATAGTCAGGCATGAGACCAAATTTAACACGGAGCGCTCCGCATTTCCAAGTCAGACATGAGACCAAATTTCAACATCCCACACTCTGCATTTTCAAGCTGTAGTTACTTAGAAAATTTGGCAATTGTCGGTGATGGAGTATGTGATATGGCCTGGTCGAAGGGACAAATGAACAGATGAACAAAGAGAAAACAGTCCCCTCTTGTAGTACATTGTACGGGTGGGTGAACATTTAGAGAGGCACATTTGGAAAGTCACCACTCTTCTTTATAAAAAACGAAGTAGAGTGGTACGCAAAGAAGGTGTTTTTATACCTGCTGAGTGTTAGTAGCAATACTGTAAACAGATGTACGCCATGACAATCACAAAAAGGATAAGATTAAAAGGAAAACAAAATTCTGAAAATAAATAAGTGTTCATGTGTATTACTGTTCACTGCAGCCAGATCGTGTGAAGAACCTGGTGGTGGTAGATGTGTCACCCAGACCTCGTCCAGCCTCCGTCACCCCGACCACGAGCGCCTACCTCCAGTCCATGTTGAAGATCACCTCGTCTCTGTGTGACACTACCCTTACCTCCCTATCACAAGCCAAGCAGCATGCAGACAAGATCCTACAGGAGACGGAACAGGTTAGGAATACTAGATAGTGGTTTGGTAGTGTTTTAATCTGAACAAAAGAATGAACGGCACCAATCAACATCTCATAGACACTTGATTTGTATCCAGTGGTAGGCATTTGTTGCATAAGCCTGTGATGCATTATGTTATTGTAAAGACCTGTTTCACAGTATTTTGTTAAGCAGGCCTGTGTCACCTTATGACCTGTGTCATATCATTTTGTTGTGCAGACTGGCAATATGTTTTTGTCGCAGTAGTTTGTTGTGAAGACCTGTTTCAGTGTTTTTCTTTGTGTTTGCCAGTGTCACAGTATGTCATGTAGACGAGTGAAGCGCTATAAAATGATGCTATGAAGACTGTTAATGTTAGTGCTGTAAGATAGTTTTGTGTAGAACAGTGTAAAACTATTGTATGTAGACATGTTTTGTGATGTAAGACAGTTTTGTGTAGAACAGTGGAAGACTATTGTGTGTAGACATGTTTTTTAATGCAAGACAATTTTGTGTAGAACAGTGTAAGACTATTTTGTGTAGACATGTTTTGTGAAGTAAGACAATTTTGTGTAGGCCCGTGTAAGACTATCATGTGTAGACATGTTTTGTGATGTAAGACTATTTTGCGTAGGCCCATGTAAGACTATCATATTTTGTGATGTAAGACAGTTTTGTGTAGACCAGTGTAAGACTATTGTGTGTAGACATGTTTTTTAATGCAAGACAATTTTGTGTAGAACAGTGTAAGACTATTTTGTGTAGACATGTTTTGTGATGTAAGACTATTTTGCGTAGGCCCATGTAAGACTATCATATTTTGTGATGTAAGACAGTTTTGTGTAGACCAGTGTAAGACTATTGTGTGTAGACATGTTTTGTGATGCAAGACAGTTTTGTGTAGAACAGTGTAAGACTATTGTGTGTAGACATGTTTTGTGATGTAAGACTATTTTGTGTAGGCCCATGTAAGACTATCATATTTTGTGATGTAAGACAGTTTTGTGTAGAACAGTGTAAGACTATTGTGTGTAGACATGTTTTGTGATGCAAGACA